TGAGCTAACCTACCAACTATGGAACTTTACAATTTAGTCCCTAAACTTTTATAAATGTTCAAGTTGGTCAATTTGTTCACAGAATCGCCAATACAAAATATAAACCTAACAAACTCCCCATTTGGCATTTTGTGACAAAACACAATACAAAAAACCACAACCTATCCAAACTTCCCAAGTCCAAACAAAACCAACTGAATACAGCTTCCACTTTGTTAATCATGTATCCTGAAATCAAAAAACTCACATACCAGTGTAAAAGCACGTGATAGAGGCAATAAACAATAAAATATTTAGAAGCATAGTTAGTGAAATAAGCAGACAAGTTTGAGATGTAGTATTAATGTTAACCAAGACACTATAACCACATTAATACCACAAAGCATCAAGAAAAACTCAAACATGCATGTATGAAATGCAACACACTTGCAATGCTCTTGCTCCCCCTTAGTGCATGGAATGCAATGCAGATGTACTACCACTACTGCAAACTCTAAGTGTTAAAATAGTAGGAAATGTATCTATATCTCTCCCCAACGACCCCTGAAGACATATGCAAAAGATCAAATCAAATGTAAAGCATAAAATGTCTATACAGTATCTATGTCTCACCCCCAACGACCCCTTAAGACATATGATATGTGTCAATATGTATCAAGCTGCTCTAAACAAGAAATGATTATATATCTCCCATTATCTCCCCCTACTATAAAATTCTTCCCCTTTTTGTCACAAATGCCGAAAAAATAACACATCAAATGACAAAGAAAATTCCAATAACTTGAGAAAAACTACAAAAAAGTTTATACTACATCAAGGTTCAGCCTAACTGCTAGCAACACATATATTAATATCAACTACAACATTAACTCTATCTACGAGGTAGGAGCATCGTCTCCATCCAAAGCATCAGTCTCATCACTCTCGTACTCTCAGTGCTCTCGCATCCAGCGCAGCCGTCGCTGAACATCTATAACCTCGCCACGCAGCGCAGTGACCTCTGCCCTCGTCTGAGTCACCTCTGCAAGAAGTTGAGTCTGCTGGCTGATCATAGTAGACATCCGGGCCATCAAGGCGGCTATGGGATTAACAGCCGAAGATGTAGGAGGGACAAAGGAAAATGTAGAAGGAGGAACGCCAGAAGAGGACGGAGCCTCAGATGATGGAGCGGATGATGGATCGACAAAGAGAGGATCATCAATGGGATATGCCGGCACTATCGGATCAGTAGGCTCAACATGAGTAAAAGCAGAAGAAGCACGTGATCGGCTCTACGAACCTATCCGACAGAAAGAACCCTCGAGAAAAACAACGCCAATGGCAGTTATTAAACGATGAAGAAGGCAAGGATAAGGAAGACCTATCCAATGATCAGAGACTCTGAAAGTGCGAAGAATATGCTGGCATAAGAAAATAGGAAGATCAATCGAGTCACCGTAAACCAGGGTGTAAATGAACCTAGCCCTATCGGATGGTAAGGAAGAAGTGTGTGCGACTAGCCACAAGTTCGTGCACACAATGCGCAACAAAACCTGCTACAGAGTGGGAAGGGCTAGTCTCAGCCGAAAGATAAGGAAAAATCGGGTGAAGAACCAGAGGAACATGAAGAGACTCAGCCAAAACATCAGGAGAGAGCCGAAGAGTATAAGATAGACTCGAAAAGAAGTATCATAAACCTCGTGGATGTTCGCTAAGAACTCCTGAACCAACAAACTAGGAGGGGGAACTAACCCAATAAACAACGAATCCTAACCTCGAGAAACAAAAATGCCAGCAATATTGGATGATAGGTCACCTAAGATAACCTCACGCTCTACGAGGATAGGTCGATGAGAGAACTAAGAAGTAAAGACCTCAAAAGCAGTAGACGAAATGAAGCGCGTCCGACTATACGAAGTAGATCCACGAGGCTACTGAGTGGTGGTCCGGCTCTTTCGGTGGCATCTGGAACATGATTGCAGAACAAACATGTCAAGAGATGCTAAGAAAGAGAATGCAAACCACACAAGCAGCCACGCAGTCAAATGCATAAAAATGCGTGAAATGATGTAACAATGAAGCAAACATGCAAAATGATGCAAATAAGCATCAAAGCACGCAAAACGATGCAAATATGTGTCAAGCATGCAAAACGATGCAAATGGTCCTCAAAGCACGTAAAACGATGCAAATATGTGTCAAGCACGTAAAACGATGCAAATAGTCCTCAAAGCACGTAAAACGATGCAACACATATGTCACATGCACATAAAATAATGCAAACGTGCCAAAATAAGGCAGTGCATGAACATAGTGCAGTGATTGCATGACGTAGATGCAGTGACGAAGGGACGGAGGTGCAGTGGTGTCTTAGATGGAGGTGTAATGTGAGTGTCATGGCTCCTAAGACAAAATTCAATGCAAAGGAACTCCAATTAACATGTGAGTGCATGGGAGTGTTCGTGAGATGAAGGATGACTCGTGTGTGCAAAATCACGGCCAAAGTCACACGATCAAACCAAAGAAGCATTTTATCGAACACTTTGAGTGCAATGTAAAGTCATAAAATTCAAAGCACAAATGGCTCCACCTATGACCAACCGAGTATCCTAGCTCCACAAACTAGTAAATGATCAACTAATCCTATCCCAACTCCATCAAAATTGAAATACATTCAAGCAATCGCCAAAATCATCAAAAATATGTAAAAGTGCAATGAAGTACATTCAAGCAATGGCCAAAATCATCAAAAAAATGTAAAAGTTGAATCACATTGATGCACGCA